ACAACCTCTTCGACCTCAGCCGCAACTTCTTCCTAGAAACATCGCCAAAGGCAAGGGAAGCAAGGGCAAAAATGAACTATTGGGACTTCATCAAGATAAAAAGCTTTTGCACAGCAAAAGAAACAGTCAACAAAACCAAAAGACAACCAACAGAATGGGAAAAGATATTTGCAAATGACATATCAGATAAAGGGCTAATATCCAAAATCTATAAAGAACTTAAACTCAACACCCAAAGAACAATTGATCCAATCAAGAAATGGGCAGAAGACATGAACAGACATTTTTCCAAAGAAGACATCCAAATGGCCAACAGACACATGAAAAAGTGCTTAACATCACTCAGCATCAGGGAAATCCAAATCAAAACCTCAATGAGATACCACCTCACACCAGTCAGAATGGCTAAAATTAACAACTCAGGAAACGATGGATGTTGGCAGGGATGCAGAGAAAGGGGAACCCTCCTACACTGTTGGTGGGAATGCAAGCTGGTGCAGCCACTCTGGAAAACAGTATGGAGGTTCCTCAAAAAGTTGAAAATAGAGCTACCATAAGACCCAGCAATTGCACTACTGGGTATTTACCCAAAAGATACAAATGTAGGGATCCGAAGGGGTAAGTGCACCCTGATGTTTATAGTAGCAATGTCCACAATAGCCAAGCTGTGGAAAGAGCCAAGATGTCCATCGACAGATAAATGGATAAAGAAGATGTGGTATGTATATACAATGGAATATTATGCAGCCATCAAAAGGAATGAAATCTTGCCTTTTGTAATGACAGGGATGGAACTGGAGGGTATTATGCTGAGTGAAATAAGTCAATCAGAGAAAGACGTGTATCATATGACCTCACTGATATGAGGAATTCTTAATCTCAGGAAACAAACTGAGGGTTGCTGGAGTGGTGGGGGTTGGAGAGATGGGGTGGCTGGGTGATAGACATTGGGGAGGGTATGTGTTATGGTGAGCACTGTGAATTGTGTAAGACTGTTGAATCACAGACCTGTACCTCTGAAACAAATAATACATTAGATGTTAAAAAAAAAAAAGAAGAAGAAGATAGCAGGAAGGGAAAAATGAAGGGGGGGAAATCAGAGGGGGAGATGAACCATGAGAGACTATGGACTCTGAGAAACAAACTGAGGGTTCTAGAGTAGATGGGGTTGGGGAGATGGGTTAGCCTGGTGATGGATATTAAAGAGAGCACATACTTTATGGAGCACTGGGGGTTATACACAAACAATGAATCATGGAACACTACGTCAAAAACTAATGATGTAATGTATGGTGATTAACATAACAAAAAACCTCAAAAAAACGAAGAGCAAAGTTTGCAGAAAGAAAAAAAAAATCACACATGATACTCCCTGCAAACACTTATGATGATAGTAGTCATAACTGCTATGATAAACCTAAATACTCTACTCAGGACTGTGATTGATGGAACCAAGATAAAAATATTCTATGACACACCAAAAAGGGTACCTTTCGTGGTAAAGATGGTGATTGTCCCAGGTACAACACTAAGGGAAGAGGTAGAGAGCCTGGTGTTGATTGCCGTGGGGAGGTCTGGTGACAGCGTGGATGGAGCAGGGCCAGGAATGGATGTCCTGCTAGAGGAGATGACGTCAGTCCTGGAGGCCTCATCGGTAGTATCAGTGGATGTTACAGAAGGGACAGTGACTTTCTTTGAGGCCATGACGGTGTGCCAGGAGGCGCTGGTGTCCCCCAATTCCAGTGCAAGGGATGACGTTGACTGTGTCTCCAACTCAGTAGTTTCAGAAAGGCCAGCTATTCGTGTGGAAACCATGGCATCTCCACTGAGGGAAGAGGTGATGATTGGAGTGGGGCCTTTCGGTATCTCTGAGTCCGCTGGGGCAGAGGACTGGGATTCCTGTGCAGAAGTGATAGTCCCCACGTTGGTCACTGCTGTGTTCCCGGAAAGGTGGAGTCCCTCTGTAGCGGTAGACGCTTCTGAAATTACCCGGGTCTCAACTGAGGTGCTGCTCACATCTGAAGGTGAACTTGTCACACGTCCCAAGCTTGTGCTCAATGTGCCAGTGGTGCCCAGCATGCCAGGGGTGCCAGGTGAGGTGGCGGGAACAGGTGGAGAAAGGCCCCTGGCTTGTGATGTGGGGGAAACTAGAGAAGGTGATGTTATGGCATGGGAAGGCACTAGGGAGGATGGAGATGCGAGGTCTAGGTCAGAGGAAGGGCTTGTCTGTGACCCATCCTCAGAACCTGTGCCCATGCTTATGGTTACATCTGGGCGTACAAAACCCTCAGTCCCATCCGAGTGATTCTCTGCCCAGGAGGCTGTGGCTGATGCATCAGAGGCACCTGTGCTCTGTGATGTAGCCTCAAGGAGACCTGTTTCGATGGCCATGGTTACGGCTGTGGACTCTGTCATGACCGGGGAGGTAGACAGCCTGGTGTTGATTGCCATGGGGATGTCTTGTGACAGTCTGGATGGAGCAGGGCCAGGGATGGGTGTCCTGCTAGAGGAGATGACGTCACTCCTGGAGGCCTCATCGGTAGTATCAGTGGACGTTACAGAAGGGACAATGACTTTCTCTGAGGTCATGATGGTATGCCGGGAGGCTCTGGTGTACCCCAGTTCCGGGGCAAGAGATGACGTTGACTGTGTCTCCAACTCTGTGGTTTCCGAAAGGGCAGCCATTCGTGTGGAAACCGTGGCATCCCCACTGAGGGAAGAGGTGACGGTTGGAGTGGTGCCTTTCGGTGCCTCTGAGCCTGCTGGCTCAGAAGACTGGGATTCCTTTGTAGAAGTGATGGTCCCCACGTTGGTGACTGCTGTGTTCCCAGGAAGGTGGAGTCCCTCTGTAGCGATAGAGGCTTCTGAAATTACCCGGGTCTCAACTGAGGTGCTGCTCACATCTGAAGGTGAACTTGTCACATGTCCCAAACTTGTGCTCAATGTGCCGGTGGTGCCTTGCAATCCAGGGGCACCAGTTGAGGTGGCGGGAACAGGTGGAGAAAGGCCCCTGGCTTGTGATGTGCAGGTAACTAGAGAAGGTGATGTTATGGCATGGGAAGGCACCAGGGAGGATGGAGATGTGAGGTCTAGGTCAGAGGAAGGGCTTGTCTGTGACCCATCCTCAGAACCTGCGCCCATGCTTATGGTTACATCTGGGCGTGCAAAACCCTGAGTCCTAGCTGAGTGACTCTCTGCCCAGGAGGCTGTGGCTGATGCACCTGAGGCACCTGTGCCCTGTGATGTAGCCTCAAGGAGACCTGTTTCGGTGGCCATGGTTATGGCTGTGGACTCTGTCATGACTGGGGAGGTAGACATCCTGGTGTTGATTGCTGTTGGCATGTCTGGTGACAGTGTGGACGGAGCAGGGCCAGGGATGGATGTCCTGCTAGAGGAGATGACGTCACTCCTGGCGACCTCAACGGTAGTATCAGTGGACGTTACAGAAGGGACAGTGACTTTCTCTGAGGCCATGATGGTGTGCCGGGAGGCACTGGTGTCCCCCAGTTCCGGGGCAAGAGATGACGTTGATTGTGTCTCCAACTCTGTGGTTTCAGAGAGGCCAGCCATTCGTGTGGAAACCGTGGCATCCCCACTGAGGGAAGAGGTGACGGTTGGAGTGGTGCCTTTTGGTGTCTCTGAGCCCGCTGGGGCAGAGGACTGGGATTCCTTTGTAGAAGTGATGGTCCCCATGTTGGTCACTGCTGTGTTCCCGGAAAGGTGGAGTCCCTCTGTAGCGGTAGAGGCTTCTGTAATTACCCAGGTCTCAAATGAGGTGCTGCTCACATCTGAAGGTGAACTTGTCACATGTCCCAAACTTGTGCTCAATGTGCCGGTGGTGCCTTGCAATCCAGGGGCACCAGTTGAGGTGGCGGGAACAGGTGGAGAAAGGCCCCTGGCTTGTGATGTGCGGGTAACTAGAGAAGGTGATGTCATGGCATGGGAAGGCACCAGGGAGGATGGAGATGTGAGGTCTAGGTCAGAGGAAGGGCTTGTCTGTGACCCATCCTCAGAACCTGTGCCCATGCTTACGGTTACATCTGGGTGTGCAAAACCCTCAGTCCCAGCCAAGTGACTCTCTGCCCAGGAGGCTATGGCTGATGCATCCGCGGCACCTGTGCCCTGTGATGTATCCCCAGGGAGACCTGTTTTGGTGGCCATGGTTATGGCTGTGGACTCTGTCATGACCGGGGAGGTAGACAGCCTGGTGTTGATTGCTGTTGGCATGTCTGGTGACAGCGTGGACGGAGCAGGGCCAGGAATGTATGTCCTGCTAGAGGAGATGACGTCAGTCCTGGCGGCCTCATCGGTAGTATCAGTGGACGTTACAGAAGGGACAATGACTTTCTTTGAGGCCATGATGGTGTGCCGGGAGGCGCTGCTGTCCCCCAGTTCTGGGGCAAGAGATGACATTGACTGTGTCTCCAACTCTGTGGTTTCAGAGAGGCCAGCCATTCGTGTGGAAACCGTGGCATATGAACTGAGGGAAGAGGTGATGGTTGGAGTGGTGCCTTTCGGTGTCTCTGAGCCTGCTGGCTCAGAGGACTGGGATTCCTGTGCAGAAGTGATGGTCCCCACGTTGGTCACTGCTGTGTTCCCAGGAAGGTGGAGTCCCTCTGTAGCGGTAGAGGCTTCTGAAATTACCCGGGTCTCAACTGAGGTGCTGCTCACATCTGAAGGTGAGCTTGTCACACGTCCCAAGCTTGTGCTCAATGTGCCGGTGGTGCCCAGCATGCCAGGGGTGCCAGGTGAGGTGGCAGGAACAGGTGGAGAAAGGCCCCTGGCTTGTGATGTGGGGGAAACTAGAGAAGGTGATGTTATGGCATGGGAAGGCACTAGGGAGGATGGAGATGTGAGGTCTAGGTCAGAGGAAGGGCTTGTCCGTGACCCATCGTCAGAACCTGTGCCCATGCTTATGGTAACATCTGGGTGTGCAAACCCCTGAGTCCCAGCCGAGTGACTCTCTGCACAGGAGGCTGTGGCTGATGCATCGGAGGTACCTGTGCTCTGTGATGTATCCCCAGGGAGACCTGTTTTGGTGGCCATGGTTACGGCTGTGGACTCTGTCATGACCGGGGAGGTAGACAGCCTGGTGTTGATTGCTGTTGGCATGTCTGGTGACAGCGTGGATGGAGCAGGGCCAGGGATGGATGTCCTGCTAGAGGAGATGACGTCACTCCTGGCGGTCTCATCGGTAGTATCAGTGGACGTTACAGAAGGGACAATGACTTTCTTTGAGGCCATGATGGTGTGCCGGGAGGCACTGGTGTCCCCTAGTTCCGGGGCAAGGGATGACATTGACTGTTTCTCCAACTCCGTGGTTTCAGAGAGGCCAGCCATTCGTGTGGAAACCGTGGCATCTCCACTGAGGGAAGAGGTGACGGTTGGAGTGGGGCCGTTCGGTGTCTCTGAGTCCGCTGGGGCAGAGGACTGGGATTCCTGTGCAGAAGTGATGGTCCCCACGTTGGTCACTGCTGTGTTCCCGGAAAGGTGGAGTCCCTCTGTAGCGGTAGAGGCTTCTGAAATTACCCGGGTCTCAACTGAGGTGCTGCTCACATCTGAAGGTGAACTTGTCACACGTCCCAAGCTTGTGCTCAATGTGCCGGTGGTGCCCAGCATGCCAGGGGTGCCAGGTGAGGTGGTGGGAACAGGTGGAGAAAGGCCCCTGGCTTGTGATGTGGGGGAAACTAGAGAAGGTGATGTTATGGCATGGGAAGGCACTAGGGAGGATGGAGATGTGAGGTCTAGGTCAGAGGAAGGGCTTGTCTGTGACCCATCCTCAGAACCTGTGTCCATGCCTACGGTTACATCTGGGTGTGCAAAACCCTCAGTCCCAGCCGAGTGACTCTCTGCCCAGGAGGCTGTGGCTGATGCATCTGAGGCACCTGTTCCCTGTGATGTGGCCCCAAGGAGACCTGTTTCAGTGTCCATGGTTGCGGCTGTGGACTCTGTCATGACCGGGGAGGTAGACAGCCTGTTGTTGATTGCCGTGGGGATGTCTGGTGACAGCGTGGATGGAGCAGGGCCAGGGATGGATGTCCTGCTAGAGGAGATGACGTCAGTCCTGGAGGCCTCATCGGTAGTATCAGTGGACGTTACAGAAGGGACAGTGACTTTCCTTGAGGCCATGATGTTGTGCTGGGAAGCGCTGGTGTCCCCCAGTTCTGGGGCAAGAGATGACATTGACTGTGTCTCCAACTCTGTGGTTGCAGAGAGGCCAGCCATTCGTGTGGAAACCGTGGCATATGAACTGAGGGAAGAGGTGATGGTTGGAGTGGTGCCTTTCGGTGTCTCTGAGCCTGCTGGCTCAGAGGACTGGGATTCCTGTGCAGAAATGATAGTCCCCACTTTGGTCACTGCTGTGTTCCCAGGAAGGTGGAGTCCCTCTGTAGCGGTAGAGGCTTCTGAAATTACCCGGGTCTCAACTGAGGTGCTGCTCAAATCTGAAGGTGAACTTGTCACACGTCCCAAGCTTGTGCTCAATGTGCCGGTGGTGCCCAGCAATCCAGGGGCACCAGGTGAGGTGGCGGGAACAGGTGGAGAAAGGCCCCTGGCTTGTGATGTGCGGGTAACTAGAGAAGGTGATGTCATGGCATGGGAAGGCACCAGGGAGGATGGAGATGCGAGGTCTAGGTCAGAGGAGGGGCTTGTCCATGACCCACCCTCAGAACCTGTGCCCATGCTTACGGTTACATCTGGGTGTGCAAAACCCTGAATCCCAGCCGAGTGACTCTCTGCCCAGGAGGCTGTGGCTGATGCATCCGAGGTACCTGTGCTCTGTGATGTATCCCCAGGGAGACCTGTTTCAGTGGCCATGGTTTCGGCTGTGGACTCTGTCATGACTGAGGAGGTAGACAGCCTGGTGTTGATTGCTGTTGGCATGTCTGGTGACAGCGTGGACGGAGCAGGGCCAGGGATGGATATCCTGCTAAAGGAGATGACGTCAGTCCTGGAGGCCTCATCGGTAGTATCAGTGGACATTACAGAAGGGACAGTGACTTTTTCTGAGGCGATGACGGTGTGCCAGGAGGCTCTGGTGTTCCCCAGTTCTGGGGCAAGAGATGACATTGACTCTGTCTCCAACTCTGTGGTTTCCGAAAGGCCACCCATTCGTGTGGAAACCGTGGCATCCCCACTGAGGGAAGAGGTGACGGTTGGAGTGGTGCCTTTCGGTGTCTCTGAGCCTGCTGGCTCAGAGGACTGGGATTCCTTTGTAGAAGTGATGGTCCCCACGTTGGTCACTGCTGTGTTCCCAGGAAGGTGGAGTCCCTCTATAGCGGTAGAGGCTTCTGAAATTACCCAGGTCTCAACTGAGGTGCTGCTCACATCTGAAGGTGAACTTGTCACATGTCCCAAACTTGTGCTCAATGTGCTGGTGGTGCCCAGCAATCCAGGGGCACCAGGTGAGGTGGCGGGAACAGGTGGAGAAAGGCTTCTGGCTTGTGATGTGCGGGTAACTAGAGAAGGTGATGTCATGGCATGGGAAGGCACCAGGGAGGATGGAGATGTGAGGTCTAGGTCAGAGGAAGGGCTTGTCCGTGACCCATCCTCAGAACCTGTGCCCATGCTTATGGTTACAACTGGGTGTGCAAAACCCTGAGTCCCAGCCGAGTGACTCTCTGCCCAGGAGGCTGTGGCTGATGCATCCGAGGTACCTGTGCTCTGTAATGTAGCCCCAGGGAGACCTGTTTCGGTGTGCATGGTTACAGCTGTGGACTCTGTCATGACCGGGGAGGTAGACAGCCTGGTGTTGATTGCTGTTGGCATGTCTGGTGACAGCGTGGACAGAGCAGGGCCAGGGATGGGTGTCCTGCTAGAGGAGATGACGTCACTCCTGGCGGCCTCATCAGTAGTATCAGGGGACGTTACAGAAGGGACAATGACTTTCTTTGAGGCCATGATGGTGTGCTGGGAGGCGCTGGTGTCCCCCAGTTCTGGGGCAAGAGATGACATTGACTGTGTCTCCAACTCTGTGGTTGCAGAGAGGCCAGCCATTCGTGTGGAAACCGTGGCATAAGAACTGAGGGAAGAGGTGATGGTTGGAGTGGTGCCTTTCGGTGTCTCCGAGCCTGCTGGCTCAGAGGACTGGGATTCCTGTGCAGAAGTGATGGTCCCCACGTTGGTCACTGCTGTGTTCCCAGGAAGGTGGAGTCCCTCTGTAGCGGTAGAGGCTTCTGAAATTACCCGGGTCTCAACTGAGGTGCTGCTCACATCTGAAGGTGAACTTGTCACACGTCCCAAGCTTGTGCTCAATGTGCCGGTGGTGCCCAGCATGCCAGGGGCACCAGGTGAGGTGGCGGGAACAGGTGGAGAAAGGCCCCTGGCTTGTGATGTGCGGGTAACTAGAGAAGGTGATGTCATGGCATGGGAAGGCACCAGGGAGGATGGAGATGCGAGGTCTAGGTCAGAGGAAGGGCTTGTCCATGACCCACCCTCAGAACCTGTGCCCATGCTTACGGTTACATCTGGGTGTGCAAAACCCTGAATCCCAGCCGAGTGACTCTCTGCCCAGGAGGCTGTGGCTGATGCATCCGAGGTACCTGTGCTCTGTGATGTATCCCCAGGGAGACCTGTTTCAGTGGCCATGGTTTCGGCTGTGGACTCTGTCATGACTGGGGAGGTAGACAGCCTGGTGTTGATTGCTGTTGGCATGTCTGGTGACAGCGTGGACGGAACAGGGCCAGGGATGGATATCCTGCTAAAGGAGATGACGTCAGTCCTGGAGGCCTCATCGGTAGTATCAGTGGACATTACAGAAGGGACAGTGACTTTTTCTGAGGCGATGACGGTGTGCCAGGAGGCTCTGGTGTCCCCCAGTTTTGGGGCAAGAGATGACATTGACTCTGTCTCCAACTCTGTGGTTTCCGAAAGGCCACCCATTCGTGTGGAAACCGTGGCATCCCCACTGAGGGAAGAGGTGACGGTTGGAGTGGTGCCTTTCGGTGTCTCTGAGCCTGCTGGCTCAGAGGACTGGGATTCCTTTGTAGAAGTGATGGTCCCCACGTTGGTCACTGCTGTGTTCCCAGGAAGGTGGAGTCCCTCTATAGCAGTAGAGGCTTCTGAAATTACCCAGGTCTCAACTGAGGTGCTGCTCACATCTGAAGGTGAACTTGTCACATGTCCCAAACTTGTGCTCAATGTGCCGGTGGTGCCCAGCAATCCAGGGGCACCAGGTGAGGTGGCGGGAACAGGTGGAGAAAGGCTTCTGGCTTGTGATGTGCGGGTAACTAGAGAAGGTGATGTCATGGCATGGGAAGGCACCAGGGAGGATGGAGATGTGAGGTCTAGGTCAGAGGAAGGGCTTGTCCGTGACCCATCCTCAGAACCTGTGCCCATGCTTATGGTTACAACTGGGTGTGCAAAACCCTGAGTCCCAGCTGAGTGACTCTCTGCCCAGGAGGCTGTGGCTGATGCATCCGAGGTACCTGTGCTCTGTAATGTAGCCCCAGGGAGACCTGTTTCGGTGGCCATGGTTACGGCTGTGGACTCTGTCATGACCGGGGAGGTAGACAGCCTGGTGTTGATTGCTGTTGGCATGTCTGGTGACAGCGTGGACAGAGCAGGGCCAGGGATGGGTGTCCTGCTAGAGGAGATGACGTCACTCCTGGCGGCCTCATCAGTAGTATCAGGGGACGTTACAGAAGGGACAATGACTTTCTTTGAGGCCATGATGGTGTGCTGGGAGGCGCTGGTGTCCCCCAGTTCTGGGGCAAGAGATGACATTGACTGTGTCTCCAACTCTGTGGTTGCAGAGAGGCCAGCCATTCGTGTGGAAACCGTAGCATATGAACTGAGGGAAGAGGTGATGGTTGGAGTGGTGCCTTTCGGTGTCTCTGAGCCTGCTGGCTCAGAGGACTGGGATTCCTGTGCAGAAGTGATGGTCCCCACGTTGGTCACTGTTGTGTTCCCAGGAAGGTGGAGTCCTTCTGTAGCGGTAGAGGCTTCTGAAATTACCCGGGTCTCAACTAAGGTGCTGTTCACATCTGAAGGTGAGCTTGTCACACGCCCCAAGCTTGTGCTCAATGTGCCGGTGGTGCCCAGCATGCCAGGGGCGCCAGGTGAGGTGGCGGGAACAGGTGGAGAAAGGCCCCTGGGTTTTGATGTGGGGGAAACTAGAGAAGGTGATGTCATGGCATGGGAAGGCACTAGGGAGGATGGAGATGTGAGGTCTAGGTCAGAGGAAGGGTTTGTCCGTGACCCATCCTCAGAACCTGTGCCCATGCTTATGGTTACATCTGGGCGTGCAAAACCCTGAGTCCCAGCCGAGTGACTCTCTGCCCAGGAGGCTGTGGCTGATGCATCTGAGGCACCTGTGCTCTGTGATGTAGCCACAAGGAGACCTGTTTTGGTGGCCATGGTTTCGGCTGTGGACTCTGTCATGACCGGGGAGGTAGACAGCCTGGTGTTGATTGCTGTTTGCATGTCTGGTGACAGTGTGGACAGAGCAGGGCCAGGGATGGATGTCCTACTAGCGGAGATGATGTCACTCCTGGAGGCCTCATCGCTAGTATCAGTGGACATTACAGAAAGGGCAGTGACTTTCTCTGAGGTCATGATGGTGTGCCGGGAGGCACTGGTGTCCCCTAGTTCCGGGCCAAGGGATGACGTTGACTGTGTCTCCAACTCTGTGGTTTCAGAGAGGCCAGCCATTCGTGTGGAAACCGTGGCATCTCCACTGAGGGAAGAGGTGACGGTTGGAGTGGGGCCTTTCGGTGTCTCTGTGCCCACTGGGGCAGAGGACTGGGATTCCTGGGCAGAAGTGATAGTCCCCACGTTGGTCACTGCTGTGTTCCCAGGAAGGTGGAGTCCCTCTGTAGCGGTAGAGGCTTCTGAAATTACCCGGGTCTCAACTGAGGTGCTGCTCACATCTGAAAGTGAACTTGTCACATGTCCCAAACTTGTGCTCAATGTGCCGGTGGTGCCCAGCATGCCAGGGGCGCCAGGTGAGGTGGGGGGAACAGGTGGAGAAAGGCCCCTGGCTTGTGATGTGCGGGTAACTAGAGAAGGTGATGTCATGGCATGGGAAGACATCAGGGAGGATGGAGATGTGAGGTCTAGGTCAGAGGAAGGGCTTGTCTGTGACCCATCCTCAGAACCTGTGCCTATGCTTATGGTTACATATGGGCGTGCAAAACCCTCAGTCCCATCTGAGTGACTCTCTGCCCAGGAGCCTGTGGCTGTTGCATCCACGGCACCTGTTCCCTGTGATGTAGCCCCGGGGAGAACTGGTTCGGTGGCCACAGTTATACCTTTTGTGGCAGGAATCTCCTTAATACTGTGTTCTGCTTCTTTACTGATGAGTACTGGCCTCCCTATTAACATGATTGTAGAACGACTTACCATTTCATTACTCTTGACCCCTCTTGTAATTTCTTTTGCAAATATTGGCAGCTGTGAGGTAGTTGGGCTTATCATGTTCCCCACAGATATTTCTTGAAATGTGTTCCCTTGAGGATGTGAAGTAGTGGTTGTGGATGTTGACACCGATTTCCCAGTAGCCCAGTCAAGAGTGGGCAGAAAATCAGGCTGAGAATTGGATTGGAGGATATTAGGTTCAGTCTTTGTATTTGGATGGTCAGTAGTCCAACTTGCGCTTAAATCATGAGTAAGTGAGGGGCTCATCATCTCAGTACCAGAAGTTGTTGAGATGGGCATAGATGTAGTTGTGTCTGAAGGACTCCATGTTCTCATATTTATGGACTTCGTCTCCTTAGCTGAAGCATAAGATGGAATGTGTAGGCTGGTTCCAATGATGGTCACAAGGCCATGGGGAGTAGATAAAGAACTTGATTCAGTGCTAGATGCTAAGGATGAAGTTGTGCCCATTGCAGAACTTGTTTCAGGAGAACCAGTGTCTGTTATAGCCCAAGGGCCTGATGTTGGGGTAGAAGCAGTTGTAGGTGACCAGGTGGAAGCAGGCTCTAGGGAAGACATGCTGGTCTCTGTGGCCAGTGTGCTCACTCTCCTCTCTGGGTTAGACGTGGTAGTCAGGACTGAGTTTGTTCCCATGGTGGTGATGGTGGTGGAGACATCTGGAGTGGGGGTTGCGGTTACACCCATGATGCTCACTTCTGCAGGAGTTGAGGTCTGTGACAGTTGTCCAGGCATAGAGACAGCATCACTAGTTGCTACACTTGTTGTGGCCACCAGAGTCTTAGATCTCATTGGAGGAAATGTGATAGATGGTGAAGAGCTCATTACTCCTCCTGAGGCATTGGTAAAGCTGGTAATGGCTTGGCTTTTAGAGGTCAGAGATGGTGATGTGGTTTGTTCTATGGAGGTTAGATGCAATGTGTCCGTGGCCTCTGGAGATGCACCATGAATCAGATCACTCCCAGTTGTCTTCTCTGACCATGTGATAGCAGATGAATAAGCCTCACCCACAGATATACTTGCCTGTTGTTCAGCTGTTGCAATAGCCACTGCTGAGGAAGCAAGTGTCCTCCCAGTAGAACTGTTTTTGGGCAAACCAGTGACATGGAAGTGGGCAGCTGTGTCTGTGACAGTCCATGGAGAGGTCCCTGGTGCTTGGGTGCTGCCTGTGGTCCTAGACTTCCTCTCTGGGCTAGGCATTACAGTTGAAACTGACCTTGCTCCCTTGGGGCTGGAGGGGATGACCTCCACAATAAGGGCCCCACCCTTGCTTGTTAGTTCTGTAGGAGATGATGTCACAGAAAGGGCCCCAGGTGGAGATGCGGTTTCAGTGGTCTCCAACCCTGTGATTAACTCAGACTTGGGCCCCACGAAAGGGGAGGTAGCAGATACAGAGGAGCCAGCTTTCTCTCTTGCCACACTGATGAGGCTGATAGTGGCTGAGCCTTCTGACCTATCAGAATGGGGGGTGGTAATAGCTGTGTTTGGGTCCACAGGGGAGGCACTCAGTGTTGGGTCACTCCCAGCTGTCCGCTTTGACCATGGGCTAGCAGATGAATAAGCCTCCCCCACAGATCCACCTGTCTGCTGTTCAGCTGTCACTGCCCTTTTACTGAAGGCAATGGAAGGAGCGACCATGCTGCTGACCCATGTCATGGTTTTAAGTTCAGATTTCTCTGTCACTGAGCTTGTGGCTACCTTGGGGGTTATAACTAAACTTGTTGCAGAGTCCTGAAGGCCAGTGGAAGATGTGCTGGAAGGGAAATGCTTGTCCACTGTGGTCCCTTCCGTGGAACCAAGCCACGTGGACAAGTCTATTTCAGTTGTTTTAGAAGTCAGGACTGAGCTGACTTGCTGGACATTCCTTGTGGAAGTTGACTCGCGGTGGAGGAAAGACATTGTTCCTCTTGACTGGCTTGTCCCTTCTGGTGTCCCAGAGTATATAGTGGCCCGAGCTTCAACTGGATATGGGGAGGGTGAGATGTTATTTGTAACTACCATCGTTTCTGTGGATGATTCTGCTGGCACCACAGTTCCTGTGGACAAGCGAAGGAGTCTGGGGCTGCCACTCCCTGTAGTCAGGGATTGAAGGGTGGCCAGTCCCATTGTGGTGTCTGTGGGGGCAGTCTCTGTTGGAGTCTCCCTAAAAGAAGTTCCCACAGTGGTCCTGGTCTTGAGGCTGCTGCTGGGCTCCTTGGAGCTTGGATTTGTGGTATCTTCAGATGTTCCTGGGCTTCTGGTGGACAGGCCTGTAACTGAAACAGCTCTTCAGTTAGGAAGTATGCAAGGAGGTAAAAAAGGGGTTCTTCTGGTTTTGATTCTCCTTCCTTTCTCCTTATAAACCTGCACATACTCTGCTCTTCCGGATGGCAGGAATCATATTGTCCTACCCTTGTGTCTAATGTTGGGTATATGAGCTTGGTCTACTGGCTCGCAGAGCTCCCTCTGGCATCCTATGTTTCTATATCAGTGTGGCCTCCATGCAGACCTATATACCACATCTCATGTCTTAATGGAGGGTGAAGATTCTACCCAGGAACAGGGGAAAACTCTCCCACCTTTTGCTCTGTTTTTCCTCCTTTTCAAGCCTTTAATCATTCTATTTTAGTCTGATATCTGCCTTTATTCCCTAGACTTCAAAACTGTGATTTTAATTAAAAGCTCTGTGGCTTGGTTTTAACAGGTTAAGAGAAGAGGTAGATCAAGGCACCTTACTTCCTATATATTTTCATATTCTTTCACCTCTCATCAGGAAAGGCAGAACATTTTTACTTTCTAGCATAGAAAGACATGTCAAATGATTGCTTTCAGGAATCAGGCAGCTGTATTCATCCACTTAAGCACCTTAAGTGGACACCTCTCACCTGCGGCCCATGTATTGAATATTGTAACAGTGGATAGTATTATAATCATCTTGTAATTATGAATTGTCCCACAGAATAAACCAAGCATCTCAAGTGTACCTTTCCCTGTTCATGGCAATCCCTGACTTCAGTGATGGTGTCTGAGTTAGGAAAGCCCTTCACAATTGGTCAGCTGATTTGTAGAGACACTATATCTGTTCCTAAAGCTAAAGTGATTGGCTCTTGAACATATAAATTACTAAAGAGAAGCAATTTATATTAGAAATCAATAAATCTAGGGCACCTGGGTGGCTCAGTTGGTTAAGCATCCAATTCTTGATTTCTGCTCAGGTCATGATCTCAGGGTCCTGGGATCGAGCCCTGCGTCAGGCTCTGTGTTCAGTGGGAAGTCTGCTTGAGGATTCTCTCCCTCTCTCTCCCTCTGCCCCTCCCCCCACTCTTTATGTCTCTAAAATAAATAAATATAAACTTAAAAAAAAAGAGAAAGAAATCAATAAATGCTCCATAAAAAGTATTGGTTGCTGGAGGGGAGATGGGTGGGGAGACGGGGTAAATGGGTAATGGGCATTAAGGAGGGAATGTGATATAATGAGCACAGGGTGTTATATGCAATTGATGAATCACTGAACTCTACATCTGAAACTGATGATACACCCTATGTTAACTAATTGAATTTAAATAAAATAAGTTAAAAATATAAAATATTATCAATAGCTTCTGGATACAATAGCAGAAAGTTTTGATTATGTACCAGCACATAGGACTCAGGCAATCAATTATTTTACTCCAGAGACTAGTGTTAAGCATAGTATACACAGACGATCATACATACCCAGGCTGATGATAGTCACCAGAGGTGCAGGGTCACCTGTTGACCATGTGGTGCCTCCATATATTCCCTCACTCAGCTCCCTGGTGGTGGTTGCCACAGACTCCTGAGTCCCTGAAGGATAAGAGGATTGAGGTGTCAACCTAGCATTCCCTCAAGATGTGCATACACAAGAAATGCTTTCACTAGACACTGGCTCAGCCATGTCTTCATCTGTCTCTGAGAAGGCACATTGCAAGGAAGAATTCTCTTGTTGGCATAAAATCAAACCCACAAGATGGCCTGGCCCATAATTATAGAAGAGCTTCCTGTTGATGGTGGGACTGCTGAATTGATTGATCTCAAGCAAAGGCATTTGGTGATATTCTGTCTCTATCACCTATAAATATGTGAATTCACCATTGGTTAATTTGTCCCTCCCATGTTTTAGACTCCATAAGTAAAATCAGGATTATACCATGGATTATTATATCAAATTAGTAAGCACATGCAAATAATATGTCTTGGTTATGCATTTTGTTATTTTCCTTTAACATTCTTTTATAACTATCATCATGCAGACTTCATATCTGGGGAGGGGAAAGGTAGGCTCTGACTGGAAGGAACTGAATTTGGACCCAAGGATGCTGAAAGTGTCACTAGTTACATAGAGAAAGTAAATGATCCTACTAGATATGTGGAACCAGAAGGACATTCTCAGAAGGAATTCTCTCTCCTTCTCATTGAATAGTATCCACCAAATCTCAGAATGCCAAAGCAAGGGAAGTCAGGAACTCGGTTCTTACTTGTAAATGGGATAGAGTTATCAAGACTTGGAGCTGAGCTGGTCTCTACATCAGGGGAGCTCTCCTCAGTGGCTATAGTCACAGCCACACCATATGTGGTGACCTTTGGTGGCCTGGCCAAAGAAGTCACCTCAGGGGCCTTGTCTTCTCCCACAGCAGTGCTCAGGGACCAGAAGGAATCTTCTGGGGAGCCAGGGCCTAGGGAAGCTGTGGTTTTCCAGGATTGAATGTTTGTGGATGGTGTGGATGGTGTTAGTCCTGAGGCAGGTAGAGGAGAATTAGGGGTTCTGGATCTCTCTGCTTTGGAGGAAATGGAAGAAGCTGATGTTGATCTTAAGGCAGGTGCCAGGGAGGACAGAGATTTGGTCTCTTCTCCAAAAGAAGGTCTTGTCTATGATGGAGCCTCCAACTCTCTGTTCTTAGGAGTGATCATCAGTGAGAGTAGAAAACCCTGAGTCTCAGCAGAGGGGACACTTCCCAGGAGGTTGTTGTTGTGGTGTCCAGAGTAAGAGTGCTATTTGCTATAGTCCTAGATGGGCTTGTTGGTGTGTTGAAGGTCATGTGTAAAGAATCTGCCGTGGGAGGGAGAGAGAATGGTTGCTGTTGGTTCTGCCAGGGAGGTCAGTGTCACCCACTGACTGAGCAAATCTGGGCTAGGTACTCTGTCATAGGAAGTGAACTCAGTCCCAGTGATTTCAATAGCAGTATCACGGAACATTTGGGAAAAGACCATGCTGAGTCTGTGCCTGTGCCGGAATCCTGAGAAGTACTAGTCTCCCTCAGTCCAAGAGATTGTGAGGAACCAGAGTCTGCCCCAGTCCTTACAGACTTAGGAAAAATGGAGGCTGAAATGTAAAGGCTGGTGGCCTCCATAGTGAAGGCTCTAACCATTGGTGGTGTGAGCTTTTGTGATTCTGAGTGGGTAGAAGCAGAAGAACACGGTCAGCCCCAGAACTGGTCACCACTACATCTGTGAAAGGATGAGTTCCTTCTGTGTCTGTGGCAGTCTCCGAAGCAGCTAATGTCTCCGCTGAGGTATTGATCCAAGTTGGAGAACTGTTCCCAGTTTCTGTGCTCTCAGGTGAGTGAGTGACCCATCAGTTGGCCAAGACCCCCATCATCTCAGTGGTCAGTGGTACGTCACTTCTGAAAATGGGTGACATAGTCATCTGTAGGGTAGGAGCCTTCAAGCTCTGTCCCTTGGAACTTGTACTCAGAGTCAGATTTCCTTCAGGAGGAGTCACTGCTACTGGGGACTTGTGCCCTGACATTGTAAATGCCATGGTGAGAGTTGAAGGAGAACTCTGCTTGCCCTCCATGCTACTAGGGACTGGTGTTCCCATGATGACTACTTCTGTGCTGCTGGCCATCCAAGGATGCTTGACCCCATCTGTCCTGGACCCTGAAGAGAAGGCCTGTATAGAGATGGTTTCAGGCTCCAGAATGAGTTCCTGGGAGCTTGTATCCCTCTGAGCAGTTGACCTGGTGATAGTTACTGATGATGGGTATTCCCTGGTTGTCAAGATCAAGGTAGATGCAGGGTCAGGCAGAGAAGTGAGAAAGGGGTCATTTACATAAGGCTGTGTGCTTGGCTTCTCAGAAGTAATGGAAACATACAGTGTTGGCAGTCTGATCTACTCCTGAAGTCTCAGCAAACATCTGCTGGCCATCAGGAGAAGTTGTGACATGATACAGCATAGTTGTCCCCCCAGCCCTCCATTGCTAAAAAGTGTACTCATGATTTTAGGAAGTATTAGTGATTGTAGTGAGGTTTCCATGATTATTAGATTAATATCTTTTGAGCTTGTCCTGAGAGGACATTTAACAAGTCCTGTTTCTGACCACCTGGGGGAGAGTCTGTCCCTCCTTTTCTAGATGTACTTCTCCTTCCCCATATTTGGCCTTATTCACCCCTGCCCATGGTCCCTGTTCCCCCATCTGAAACCCTTGACCACTGAATATTATTTCTAAGAAATTAGGCCATAATTTAATATCTACCCTCTCTTATTATTTCCCATTTTGGAAACTCCTGTTTGGCTTTTAAAGAGAAACTAAGTGCAAGGAAAATTAGATTATAAAATAGGTCAGTCTCCAAACCTCTATCACTTCTTCCTGACAAGAGAGAACCTTTTTTTTTTTTTTCAGATAAACCTCTGGGACACAGACTTGACTTTCTCATGGCATCACATCTTCCAAGATGGTGTTTTTTTTCCCATGTAAGGATCATTCCAGGAGCCATCAACCATCACTAATCAATTCTTTTTTTTTTAAATTTATTTATTTGAGACAGAGAGAATGAGAGACAGAGAGCATGAGAGGGAGGAGGGTCAGAGGGAGAAGCGGGCTCCCCGCCGAGCAGGGAGCCCGATGCGGGACTCGATCTCGGGACTCCAGGATCATGACCTGAGCCGAAGGCAGTCGCTTAACCAACTGAGCCACCCAGGCGCCCCCATCACTGATCAATTCTTATCATGATAGATTTGGACTTCTTTTAGTAAGAGCCATCCACTAATGAACATGTCCCGAACACAGAATGATCTCTTGTGTTCTTAGAGATACCTAAGATCCGTATTGAAGAAACAGGGCCAAGAGACCTACAATCTTAGGAGAAATCCAGGTGGTACCAACTTCTCAGACTAGTTCTAGCAATAGCACAGTTTGCCAGAGAACAGAAAACATGCTTCCTAGAAAGACAAAGTTAAGCAGCAGCTATAATATCATACCTGCATGGTCAACAACTGTCACAGGTGTTGAAGGGTCACTGTTCAGCCATGAGGAAGTTTCATATGTGGAGAAGTTAGTAATAGACATCACAGACCCATCAGTGCCTGTAGGAGAGACAGGTGGGTTGGATGGATATTGGTCAGTTTAGAAGGAATGCACTTGAGAAAAATCAACATGTGAACACTTTGGAAACAAAGACTATTTACAAGGAAGTGTTATTCAAAGAGTAGAGACAGGAGAATGTAGGTTTGGGGTGATTTGAATGCCAACTCTGCACAAGAATTGTGCCATGAACAAGCACAATGGAATAAGGTATTAATGGGCAGTAATTGATCCTCTTGTCTCTTTAGTTCCAGCATCAACAGAAACCACATAAAGTCTGGAGGTCATGGGCATCAAAGTGCTGGTCTATTCTATAAAGAATGGGCTGGTCAAAGAGGCATATGAGTGAGGCAGATGGCTGCTCAGGTGACTTTAAGCCAGATATTCTAACAGGACATAGTGGAGGGCATATACTAGATAGTGTCAGGAAATACTGTCAGATTCCTGATGGGAAGCGGTTTGCTTTATAGATAATGATAGCTAAGGTGAAGTGACCAGTCAACTCAGGGAGATGAGACAGACACAGAAGCCACAGACTTCTATTCCCACCAGTCTTACTGAGAAGGATCATCAATCAGGGATACCTAGGGAAGCTTAGTCATGATGGGCTGATTCTCATCTGGGTGAGAACGGGTGACCCCGAGAAGAAGTTTCAAAACCGACACATAAAAATGTAGTATTCTACCACATCGTGTAGCAATTCCACTACTAAATATTTGCCCCAAAGCATTAAAAGGATTCAAACAGATATTTGTACACTACTGTTCATAGCAGCATGATTCACGATAGACAAAAGGTGGAAACAACCCAAATGTCCATCATATATGAATAAACAAAAGGTGGTATATATCCACAACGGGATATTATTCAGCCTTAAAAAGGAAGGAAACTCTGACACCTGCTGCAACATGGATGAACCTTGAAAATATCACACTAAGTGAAATAAGCCAGACACAAAAGGGCAAAGAGTACATGATTCCACTTATATGAGGTCCCTAGAATAGTCAAATTCATAGAGGACAGAAATAGAATGGTGATTTCAGAAGCAAGGAGAAGGGGAAAATGAAGAGTTAGTGATGAATGAGAATGGAGTTTCAGTTTGGGAAGATATAAAAGTTCTGGAGACGGATGGCGGGGACAGTTGTAGAGCCATGAGCATGTGTTTAATGCCACTGAACTGTGTATTTTACCTCAATAGAAAAAAAGTTTTTAAAAAATGTGATATGCATGGGGCACCTGGGTGGTGCAGTCGGTTAAGTGTCGCCTCTTGGTTTCAGCTTAGGTCATGATCTCAGGGTCCTGATCTCAGAGTCGTGAGATCAAGCCCTGTGTCAGGCTCTGTGCTGAGTGCAGAGTCTGCTTGTCCCTCTTCCTCCCCCTCTGCCCCCCCCCACTCACGAGCACTCTCTCTCAAATAAATAAATACATCTTTTTTTTTTCTTTCAAGATTTTATTTATTTGACAGAGAGAGAGAGTGAGAAAGCACAAGCAGGGGGAGAGGGAGAAGCAGGCCCCCCGCTGAGCAGGGAGCCCGATGCAGGGCTCGATCCCAGGACCCCAGGATCATGACCTGAACCAAAGGCAGATGCTTAGCCGACTGAGCCACCCAGGTGCCCCAAATACATCTTTTTTTTTAAAAAAAATGTGATATTCATCAGGAATGGCTACAAAGTACCACATCAAAAACTAATGATGTATTGTATGGTGACTAACATAACATAATAAAATTTAAAAAAAATACAAAGCACAATGTGGATGAGCAATCCCACACTCTGGATATACGCAGGCGACTTCTACAGCGATCTAGAAAACCAGATACAGGGAGCTATAGTGGCCATCTGGGCCACCTGGACATTTCCCTGCAGCCGGAATCCTGAAGCAATACAAGTAAAATAAAACAGGCTGTTAAAAAAGGGGAGGGGATTTCTTACCATCTTCAATGACCAACCAAGGAAAACAAACCCATTTCCAAGAAGGCAGAGGCAGCGGGTCCTTACTCATGAGTGGGGGCAAGCTGTCAGGATGAGGAACAGATGCTTCCTGACCCAGAAGCCTCACCTCTGTGGGGTAGGGCCTCTGACAGTGCAGAGGTGGATGTCCGGGGGGGCTCTGTCTCGGCTTCAGAAGAGGTTAATGCTCCTGATGAGATTCTGGCCAGGTCAGGCTCCACTCCCAGGCTGCTGTGCTCTAGCCCTGGGTTTCTAGTCTTGGAAGAAGTGTGGCTGGTCTGTGCCAGAATGTTGGTAAATGCTGAGGAAGAGATCCAGGTTGAGGCGGTGGGATCTAAGGGAGAGGCCCTGGTCACTGCTGTGGTGGACAGATCAGAAGAATCAGACTGTTGCTAATGGTGGGCGATGTGTAAATAGAGGAATTTATCCCCCTTCCAGAGGAGGAGCTGGACTGTGGCATGGTAGAGCTTGTCCCCCCATCCTCCCCAGTGCCCACGGAAGATGTGGCCACGGGGGGAGATGGGGAAGATCTCATGCCCAGCAGGACAGAGGCCAAGGAGGAAGCAGTTTCTCCCATTGTGGGGGGAATGCCCAATGCAGTGGTCACCTCGGGGTACACATCAGAGGCTGAAGAAGAGGATCGTGGCCCAACTCTCCTTATGGTCACTGATGATTCTGACCAGGGGCCGCTTTGCCTTCCAGGAGTGCTTGGAGTTAAAGACAGAGACGAGTTACTCCCTTTGGCGACTAAACTTGTTCCCAGATCGATGGTGGTTTTTCCATGGTCAGATGTCTGAGTCACCCCTCTGCTGGGTTCCGCAGAGCTGGCAGTGAGACGAGGAGCCTCTGTAGACCACTGTGGGGGTGAGCTTGTCTCACCTTGAGACATGGCGCCGACCGGTCTTGCTGCCTCTGATGGTGTGAGCCCCTTCTTGGATGTCAAAGCGGTGAGTGCTGCTGGGGACATGGGCTCTGTCGATGGAGGAGTAACGGGGCGGGGTGGAGATGAGCTCTGCCTGGCTTCCGGGCTGGGGGGGCCTGGAAGTCTGGATGCAGACACATCGGTGCTGCTTCTTGTCTCCCAGGCTTTGATACCTCTGGCTATAGTGTTTGAGGGTGAATCAGTCATGCGGTGGATGCACTTGGTTCTGGGCCCACGGTGGTCAAATCTTTTTTTTGGAAAGCACTGGTGTCTACTCCAGGACTTGAAAGTTCATGGGAAGGGACAGGTGTAGACGTAGCAAACGTTGTCTTGGATGAACTTGGACTTGAGATGTCAGGGGCAGCTGAGGCCGTGTCCTCTGTTGAGCGGGTACTCAGCCCTGTGGCCACGGGGAGAGCCGAAGTGAGAGCCCACAGCCAAGAAGTGACTGTGTTCTCCTTAATGGTTGTCGGCGTCAAGGACTCACCTGAGGCATCAGAGGTCAGTTCCCATGTTCTGCTTCCAGAGGAGGCAGAGGCTGCTACAGATGCTGGTCCTGGGGTTGACTGTGTCCCGAATCCAGGGGATTTTTCTGCCAGGTCTGTGCCCTGGGATTGGGTGGAGTGTTCAACTGTGTCCGTGCTGGTGCGAGGTCTTGTGGCTGGGCTGGCGGGACCGGGTGTCCTTGGGATTTTAGGGCTTTCAGGGTGAGTAGCTGGGCGGGTGGACTCTGTTCTTGCATGGGCGTCCGTGGTTCTGAGCTCCTTCACCGGGCGGGATGAGGAGACCTGAGCCGAACGTGTCTCTCTGGGATCTGGAAGGGTGACGTATGTGGTACCCCCGGTGCTGGTCTTTCCGGGAACGGACATCTCAGGGGGTGATCCAGAAGAGTCAGCCATTTCCTTAGGGTCCATTTTTGCTATTGATACAGCAGCGGTGGTCTTCACGGAGGGGGAGGTGAGGGGTGGGTCAGAGCCAGTTTTCACCACTATGTTGGGACTCTCTGAACCGGTGTGTATTCTGGAGCCGAAGCCAGATGAGTCCGTTGATTCCGGGTGGATGCTGGAGGTAGGGACTCTCTCTTCTGACAGCCTCACGGATGGCGCTGATGTACCCAGGCTTTTCCCTGTATCGGCACTGGCCGGGGTCTTCCTGGGCGATGAGGACGTCGTAGAAGGAAAGTTGGGCAGGTCCCACGTACCAGTCTCAGCTGTTTCAGTTAGCACGCCTGGGGAGACTCCCTGGGCCACAAACGTGGTGGTCGCTGCGACTTTGGCAGCAGGAGCAGAAGGAGATGAGGCTGGACGGCTGGGCCAGCGACTTCTCGTAGAGCTGGGCTCCGGAGGTGAGTGAATTGTTTCTGGAGTCAGAGGTGGGCTGGTTTCATTGCCAGAAACTGTCATCCCTCCAGAGGGCACAGGAGGGAGGGCGTCAGACAACGTGCCAAGCGAGTGGCCTGCCCTCCCCACGGTGCTGGCAGCAGCTGTGGACTGAGACCCGGTTGCTGAGACTGGGGCCCCATCTGTGGCCAGGGCTGCGTCCGCGGATGTCTCCGACGGGGATGTGCTTCCAGGGGGCAGGCGGGTAGTTCTCAGCCTTCGGTCGCCGCCCTCTCCCCTTGCGGGTTGTACCCTGCTGGACGCTGGGGCACCGACAGCTGTGTGTCATGAGTGTGGCCGTGGAAGGTGCCCTTGGAGACATTCCTTCCACAGAGCCGGTGTTTAGGGAACTGGATGTAGGAACCACACCGGCAGGAGCAGGAGGAGTGGCCGGGGCTGGAACGGCGCTTGGGGCCCAAGGGGACCCTGTCTCGAGTTGGGGACTGGTGTCTGGCCAGGCGCTGTTGCGAAGGGCAGTGGGATAATTAACCGCGCTCGCGCGGGTCTGTGACCTCCCTGCCGCGGAAGTAAAGGCGGGGGTCTGAGATGACCGGGAAGCTGCGGGAAACTCAGGGCCCACTGAGTCTGCGTGGGTCTCTTCTGAGGCCGAGGAGGGCGATGGAGAAAGGGAAGGTTTCATTCTGGAAACGCTGGTGATGCTGAGGGCTGTGGGGCCCCCCTGACCGTTCCGAAGCCAGAGTCCTGGCTTTGGGGGTGCTGGGTGTGTCCAGGGCTTCATGGGAGGTGCTGAGGGCGAGCACCCTCCCCGCTGTCCCTGCCCCTGAGGGAGAGGGACGGGCCAGGGCAGAGGTCGGACTTGGGACTCTTGTAGAACTTGCTGTTGTGTTTCTTGGTGTCATGGGAAAAGGGACAGCTGAGCTGGGCTCTGCTCTTTCTGTGGCCCCAGGGCTCCCTGTGGTCAGAGAAGAGGTAACTCTCCGCACCGAGAATGTGTTGGAGCCCGACCCTCGGTCACCCAGACCCGAAGCAGGTGACAGGAGAGGCCCACGGGAAGTCAGCGTGCTGTCTCCCCCAGAACCGGGCTCAGGGGAGGCCAAGGGACGTCCAGTGTCGGACGGAGTCAGTCCCCCGCTTGTCAGCTCCCTGGGATCTGGGGTCTCCCTAGATGAGGTCTCGGGAGAGGTAGGAGAAAGCATCCAGGTGATGAGTGCGTACCTCCTGGAGTACTTCCAGTACTCTCAGCTGGAGAGGAGACGGGGGCACTTTTCCTGGTCTGACTCACGCCTGCATGTGTCTCAGATGAAGTGGCTCTTTCGGGGGGGCCGGTTGTGGCCGGGCTACTCCCTGTGCTTCTGCTTTCCGTCACCATGACCCCGGTGGGGACAGTCCACCGATGGGTGACGGGGCCACGTCTGGCTTCCATGGGTGCAGCTCCTTTGGGGGGGCTGCTCTTCGGAGTGGTGCGCCCAGGGACTTCCACAGTAGGAGAAGGGCTCCCGGCTGTTTCCGTGACGTTTGATGCCTCTCCAGGGTTTGCCTCTGTCCCCTGCGTGTGCTGGGGTTCACCAGGGGACTGAACCGAGCCTGCCTGGGTCTGTGCTGCGGCTGTTGGGGTGCCGGGAAGGGGTGCCCTGGGGCGCTCAGAGCTCTCCGGGGCAGCGGTGCTGGTGCTGTGCCCTGGGTGGGGGGAGGACCCCTGAGCATCGCCTGTTGCCCTGCTGTCAGGGCTGGAGGCGAGGTGACAGTCAGACTGTTCTCTCTTGCAGGAGCAGAGGTTCTGGTCATGGTCTCAGCTGGGGAAGTAAAAGACAGGGCACTTTTGTTCTCCGTGGTCACACCTGCAGGAACCTCGCATCTCAAGCTGGTGCCTGTGTGTGTCCGTGTGCATTCAGTGCTGTGGTCCCAAGGACTGGGTAAAGGCTATAGCTTTTGGGGTTTTCGCAACAAGCGGTGCTCTGCTGCCACTTAGTGGCGGAGGCCAGGGATGCTGCTACAAACCCCAGAGGCTCAGACCAGCCCGCCCTGCAAAGAATACTGGACCCCAAAGGTCAAGAAGGCTGAGGTCCAAAAAACTTGCCCCGACTGTACCTCCCACAGCATCCTTCCCGTCACCTTCTATAATCGTGCCGACATCCTTGCAGTTCCCCAGCCAAACAAGTCATAATTCTGCACTCCTCTTTCCCTCTGTCCACAGTTATCCCTCTCGTCTTTCACAAATTAATACCTATTCATCACTCAAGATTCAGTTCAAGCTAGTGTATTCATTCTTTTGTCCTTACTGAGTTTCCTGTGTTCTACAATGTGCACACATTCATTCCACTGGGATTTGCAGGAAAGTCTGAGAAGGAAAATAAATATTGATGTGGGGAACAGAGACAAAAGGAAAAAAGTAAGTTTCCTTACAACTTATAAGGCAGTCAGAGAAAGACAATTATCATATGATCTCACTGATATGTGGAATTTAAGAAACAAAACAGAGGATCATAGGGGAAAAGAGGGAAAAAAAATAAAACAAGATGAAACCAGAGAGGGAGACAAACCATAAGAGACTCTTAACTCTAGGAAACAAACTGAGGGTTGCTGGAGGGGTGGTGGGTGGGGGCATGGGGTCACTGGGTGATGGGCATTAAGGAGGGCACTTTTTGTGATGAGCACTGAGGGTTATATGCAACTGGTAAGTCACTAAGTTCTATCTCTGAAACTAGTAATATACTATATGTTAATTAAATTGAATTTAAAAATTAAAAAAATTAAAAAGGTATTGCGATAATTTAAAAAAAAGATCATTATTAAATACAATTATGTCCTTTAGGGGCTGTATATTAGTAATTGATACTCCTGCTCAAACTAGGATTAAGGTTCTGTTTTGGGTCAAACTCCTGGAGTTTCTAATTTATAACTGTATTGTGAAAGATACATGACAGTAATTCAACATTTGATTTTTCTTAGTTTATTTAAAAATCATTTTAGTGTCTTAGTGAATGTTTTTGTTAGTCTGCATTTGTTGTTGTTGTTGACTAGTATATTACTTTATTTTTAAATTGTGATCGAAGTTTGATTATTTTTATCGTTAACTTTGTAAGAGAGAGGCGGTAAACATTAAATATGTACATAAATGTAAACATTAAAAAAATTTCCTTACAAATTCCCTTGACATATCCTTGAAACAGGCAGAGTGACCTTCCTCTAGGAACCCAGCTGCCCCCGTGTTAATACTTTGCAAAGGGCAAGAGGCAGTCTTAGCTTAACATTAGCCCGAACTCCAGGACCCTGTTAGTCTCCTTGAACATATAAAAGTTCCTTTGGAAACTCCATCTCTACCCCCGAGATACATGTTAGCAATCACCCTCCAAGCATACGGCCCCCTGATAGACCTCTGCAGGGTCTCATGACTAAGGTTGTGCTAGACAGTAGTAAATGACTCCTCAAGGTCCTGAAAACCTTAGAGACCGACGCTCTCCCTAACCCCCTCCCAACTGGAAAGTATATAATCAGCCAACCCTCATGATCCCAGTGCGGCTCTTTCTGCCCACGGTTCCTGTCTCCGTGCTTGAATAAAATCACCTTTTTGCACCGAAGACATCTCTAGAATACTTTCTTGACCATTTGCTCTAAACCCCAACATTTCCACATCAAATATCACTACTCATTTTTTTTTTTCTTCTGTAATGTGAATTTTAAAAATACACAGCTCAATCATCTCCTCCTCTGGAAGGTGTTCTTTAAAGCTGTGGTATCGTGATTTGTAATAAGAAATGCATATAATTGGCTTTTGTTCCTGCTTTTGGCAAAGAACTCCTAAAACCCCTCGGAATTTCCTAAGTGAAGAGAGCTATAAAGGTGTCTTTTGTTATGTTAATGAGGTGGCTTTGGGGAAAACACCTAAGGATCGGGGCCTGTGGGGTGGGGGGAAGTCGGATACCAACCAAGTGATTAGAGGGTTGGAACTTTCAAGGGGTGGGGGAGAGGGTCTAGAGGTTGAGTTCAATGGCCAGTGGCCAATGATTTAACCATTCCTATGTCAGGAAGCCTCCAAAGAAACCCAAATGGACAGGTTGGGAGAGCTTCTGGGTAGGGAGCACGTGGAGATGGGAGTGTGGTCCCCTCTCCCCATACCTTGCCCTCTGTGTCTCTTCCATCTGGCTGTTCGGAGTTATAGCCTTATATAAGAAACCAGTAACCTAGCAAGTAAACTGTTACTCTGAGTTCTGTGAGCTGTTCTAGCAACTCCCAAGGAGGGCTTGTGGGAACCTCTAATTTACAGTCAGTTACCTGGTCTTGCATTTTGTATCCTGAGCTGAAGGGGGTTATTGGAACCTCCAATTTGTAGCAGCTTGTTCAGAAGCACAGCTAACAACCTGGGCTTGCAAATGGCATCTGGGGGGGCGGGGGGTGGGCAGTCTGGTAAGACTGAGCCCTCAACCAGAGGAATCTTAATGCTACCTCCAGATAGATAGATAGTGTCAGAATTGAACTGAATTCTCAAACACCCTCCTGGTGTCACATTGGAGATTGGATCCAAGAACCTAAAAGGAGCCCTTCCTGAGTGGGAGAATCCCCTTGTCTGCTCTCAG